CTTTTTTAAATCCAAAAATTGGGGATTTTTTTTTATCAGAAAAAAACAGGATCCCTGGTTATGAGTAAATGTTAGGAAAGTTCGTAAATCAGCACAACTGGAAAGCTCCATTCCATTTTTATTTTATTTTATTTTTTGAAGGCCAACTTCCCAGGAAGAATAAAGATGGCCACCAGCTAGGAGAAAGCAAGTACAATATCAGGAAGATTGGTGTCTCACTGGGGATGTAAGGTATGGAAACCAGGGTGGTTAAGACCAGATTTATAAAAGCAATTTGCTTCAGTCTTAATTATGGAGGAGCCAGGGCTATTCTATTATGAAAGATTCCCTTCTTTGGTCTAGGTGGTGCTATTCATGACAGTGTTCAGGGTGCTGAAAGAAAGAGACTTACGTCATTGTATTTTCCTGACACACTTTGGCCAGTTAGACATCAGCAAAAACAATAATAAAGCAGCCTTCAAAGAAGAGATTTAAACTTTTCTGTAGCAATATACATTGCCTTTCTAGGTAGTTTTGACTTCCCGTATATGTAAGCTGTTGACAATTCCCAGCTGCCTTTCTTCACAAAGTCTGCAGTAATTGTTAGTTCAATATCATTGTTCCTCAGCTGCTGCTATTTTTCTCCTTGACAGAGGCTGTCATCTTAAGAAAATGCAGAAAGGTAAAAGAGGAATGATGGACAGCAGCTTTCACTGGAGAGAAAATAGTGAATTGACTCTCACATATGGGCACAATGTAAGGTCTGCACCTCTTAGGTGTTTACTTGAACAGTAACCATCAGTGCAATGAAGAAGGGGCAACCAGAGCAACAACCCCAGCTGCAAATCCCAGGATGGGGTTGGAAAAAAGAAGTAGCTGTGCTTTCAGACTGGTTACTGCCTTGCTGCTGACAGTGTAGCCAGTGATGCTGCCCCATTTGTATGTTGCTTCTGCCCAGGGCATGCAGGATTCAAGTTATGTCTTTAACAGTAGCAAGTGTATTGGGGGCGGGGGTTGACTTGGAAAAGAAGTAAAAATCTGATATTTATAAAGTTTTATATAAAAGTCTTCTGAGATAAGAGATAATTGATGCATCTTCAGCAAAACCAAGGAGGTCATTCTTCCACTCTACTCAGCACTGGTGAGACTGCAGCTGAAGTACTGCGGCCAGTTCTGGGCACCACACTTCAACCAGAACATGGACAAGCTTGAGACAGTCTGAAGAAGAGCCACCCATATGATCAGAGTCTTAAAGGGCAAGCCATATGAGGAAAGGCTGAGGGATCTGGGACTCTTCAGCCTGAGGAGAAAAAGGCTGAGAGGGGACCTGGTAGCAGCTTATCACTACACTAGGGGAGTACATCAAGGGCTCAGCAAGCAACTGTTCACCAAGGCACCTGAGGGGAAAACCAGGAGTAATGGCCACAAACTCCTGGAAGATCAATTCAGGCTCAACATGAGGAAAACCTTCTTCACAGTCAGGGTGTCCAGACTGAGGAATAAGCTCCCTCCAGAGATGGTGCAATCACCTACCCTGGAAACCTTCAAGAGGAGACTGGACGGTCACCTTGCTGGGGTCACCTGAACCCAGTTGTCTTTCCTGTTTTGTGCAGGGGGTGGACCCAATGATCTTCCAAGGTCCCTTTCGGCCTTACAATCTATTAATCTATTAATTTATGAACTCAAGTAGGTGGAAAATTTCTTCTTGGTCTAATAAAAGATATTAGATTTATGCAACGAACTTTGTCTGCCTATGTCCTTAGACCAACACGGCTACAACCGTTGATCAGAGACATTTTTATAAAAATCGCATTATAAATAAATGTCATAAATCCTCCTCACCTTTCTTCTACATAAAATAACCCAATGAGTCTTCCCTGTGTACTATGGGTTTGCCTTTCTGCACTGCGCCTTGTTCTGCAAACAGGAATTGAGCTTCGGTAATCTGATGGTTAGGTGCAACTTGGTGGAGTGACTTCCTCACATTATGTATTGTTAACTTAATTTGTTGTTTCCTGAATTCACTGTAATTGTGAACTAATTTCTACCCTAGCTTCTTACACACTTCCACATTTATACCCATGGAAATCTATTTTCCTACTATGCTCTGCAGGTCTGGCATAGGGAAGTTACCATGTTAAAACTTACAGTGGGGTACTATTTCATTGATGCCCCAGTAGAGCACAGTATTCAGTTGTTAGGCACTGTAACTAGCATAACAGAACTAGCTAGCTTCATTTCTGATAGCAGTTTTGCAGTGACTACAGATCCAGGCAGTCTGTTGTACCAGGATCAGAACCAAGCAATTCATCTTGTATTTCTTTGTACTTGGGACTTAGGGGTTCTTTACAATGAATGCTACTATTGATTGTTCATTTTAGGTATCTCCTTTTAGGAAGAAAGAAGGGAGATGCATTCCTAGTTCCTATGCCACATTTCTAAAGCAAGCTGGTAATACTATTAAACAACAAATAACTATTCACATTTAGTGAACAGTTTCACAAATACTTCTATTCCCGGCTTCGTGACTGGATGCTTGAGGTTACAGATCCTGTTACAGATCAACAGGAAGAATGTCTCATGAATAGTGACCCAACATTGCAGCTGCACAAGTAAAGGTGGGCAAACTATTTGTTTTTAATTTATTGACTGATCAAGTTTAACGGTGAGGACCAGTCACTGACATAGGGGCAATCATGGTGACTGGACAGTCACCTTGCTGGGGTCACCTAACCCCCAGTTATCTTTCCTGCTTGGTGCAGGTGGCTGGACCCAATGATCTTCCGAGGTCCCTTCCAGCATTACAGTCTATGAATCTATTAACTCAAATAGTTGGAAAAAGTCTTCTTGGTCTAATAAAAGATATCAGATTTAAACTGAACTCAAACAGAGAACATGTGAAGTACCTCAGCCAAATTAAAATCATGTCTAGGAACAAGGCATGTAGGTTGCAATATCAGGATGGGGCAGAATTTCTCAACCCATGGGTTATGACCCAAAAGTGGGTCCCAAGAATAGATCAAAGGGTCGCAAACAAACTTCAAAAAAAGGATTGTATTTTGCACATTTTTGAAAAAATAGATGCTTTGTGTGCTTTACCATATGTTAATATTATGCATATTAGTAAACAGGGATCCAGGTTTTTCATTTGCTGCAAATAAAGGCAGATTTTCTCCTTTAAAGAGGAAAATTATGGAGGGAAACTATGGCTTTTCTCTTGCAGACTGGCAGTTCCAGCTTACAAGGGGCTGCTTGGTGCTGGAGGGAGAGTGGGAGGAGGGTAATCAGGCAGGGAGCACCGTGTGCATGTGCACGTGCACGCATGCATGTGGCAACCAGGCAGCATGGAGAGCAGCTCCTGCAGCTCCCCACGAGTGAGTTTATGGAATGGGGGGAGGGGGGCATAGATGGCATGTCAGGTAGGGGCACAGGCATGTTGGGGGGCACAGGCATTTGGGGGACATGAGCGGCATGTACCCCTCCCATATTTGTGGACCCACAGCAGGCATGGGGCTGCAGATTGGCTGGACCGGCATGGGCAGGATCTGCCTCCGCATCCCAGTGGGCAGGACCCAGCACAGGAGGGCAATACTTGTTGCTGCCACCACCAGGACCCCCGTGCTAGACACACCACCAGCAGCTCAAAGAGAAATGGATGGGGGGCCATGCTGACCTCACCTCCTCCTGCTGCCAGCCACTCATGCACCAGGCTGTGGCTGTACCCCACTACCAGGGTGTGGCTGCCACCACCACTCCACTCAGGCTAGGGCTCTATCCCAGAGAGGAACTGGGGTGGTGGGCTTCCTGAGGGGAATGGTGGCAGCGGCCAGGTCATGGTGGTGGGGCAGAGCCATGGCGCAGCACACAAGCAGCTGGTGGTGGGAGGAAGTGAGGGTAGTGTGGCCCTCTCCTGTCCATTACTCCTTACGCTGCTGGTGGTTTGGCTATCATGGGGGTACTGGGTGACAGTGGTGGCAGCAATGAGTAATGTCCTCCCACACCAGGTCCTGCCTGCTGGGCTGTGGAGGCAGCTCCTGCCCATGTGAATCCTGCCAGGCTGCAGCCCTGTGCCTGCTGTGGATGCACAAATCTGAGGGGGCATATGCCCCCATAATCCACACACCCACCCCCTGCCCCACACACTGGGGGTGGGGGGGCTGGGGCCTGGGGGG